TAACTATCTGAAGTGATAAAATTAGTGCTAATAACGTCCATCAATTTAAGAAAGAAAATCAGCATTGTTAAAAATTACATAGTGTTAGCAACTAAAGAGTAATTTGGCAGTTCTCTGATCTGCCCTCCAATTTGGAATATTTGCTGAATTGATGACATGGTAGGAATGGTAATGTGTGTGTAGAATCTCAAGCTGGCTAACACAGTGAAAAGAAACTGGAAAAACTTTCTGGAGTAAGAAAAGACTTAAAACTGGACTGGAACTCCAGCAACCTGGGTTCTGCTCTGTCACCAATGTCCGGCATCAATTTACGCAATCACTTAATCTCTCTGGCTCCAATTCAATAAAGCCATTAAGCACATGCTTAACTTTAAGCACTTGAGTAATCTCACCTCTATTCATCAAAGCAGTGAACAGGAACTTAAAGTTAAGCATATGCAAGAGAGAATAAACTTTCTTTACAGTGCTGTAACTGAGAAATATTGCCTGTATATGGACAAAGTGCTCACATTGTTGCTGCTAATGATGGATTGCACACTTAAGAGAAATAGACAAGGCTATCTGGTGGTAAGGCCACTAAACACAAAGCCACACAAGTGTTGCTGGGATGCAAGACTTATCCTGATTAAGTAATACACAATAATGATCTTTTTCCTGCTAAATAGGCTTTCCCTAGGCTGTTGTCATGGTTTATTTTGATTTAGATTCTGACTTTCTACATCAAATAATCACTGTGTTAACATAATTCGATCAATGACTGTTTTTGGGGACAGTCACAATCAGGACCTTCCAGAAAGAAGGAAAATAAAACTCAGACCACAGAGGAAAATGTGATGAGAGCCTGAGCCCTTGGTCAAAGATGCAGTCTTGAAGGGTCATCTTCAAAAGATGTATGCTGTGGTCAGCCAGGGCACTGGGTGAGCCAAAAGACCAGGAGCATATCACTAGCCTTTGGAGATCTCTGGTAACAGTTTTATGCAGTAGGGAACTTAAAAACGGTTTTAAAAAAATAAAAATCTAGAAGGTGACTGAAAAGACAAGTAGAGTTCCCCCTCCCATCCAACATCTTAATGGGCATGAAAAGACAAACAGCATTCCCCATCAGCCAGGATGAAAGAAAAGAAAGGAAATGATTTTGCTTTCATGTAATGTGTCAATAATCTACAAAGTATATATCTTACAAGGTTTTTAAAAAGATATCTGTTGCTTTCACCTTTTGCTTTGCTGATTTCTACATTTTTGGATGGACAAAAGAATAACCATACTGGGTCAAGACCAATGGTCCCTTTAGCCCAGTATCCTGTCTTCCGACAGTGGCTAATGCCAGGTGCTTCAGAAGGAATGAGAAGAACAGAGACTCATCAAGTAATCCATCCTGTCACCCATTCCCAGCTTCTGACAACAGAGGCTAGGGACACTTCAAAGCATTGTTTTGCATCTCTGCCCATTCTGACTAATAGCCATTGATGGACCTATTCTCCATGAATTTATCTAGTTCTTTTTTGAATCCTGTTATAGTCTTAGCCTTCACAACATCTTCTGGCAAGTAGTTCCACTGGTTGACTGTGTTGTGTGAAAAAATCCTTCATTTTGTTTGTTTTAAACCTGCTGCCTATTGATTTCATTTGGTGGCCCTAGTTCTTGTGTTATGAGAAGGAGTAACTTCCTTATTTACTTTCTCTATACCAATCATGATTTTATAGACCTCTATCACATCTCCCCTTCGTCATCTCTTTTCCAAGCTGAAAAGCCTCAGTCTTATTAATCTCTCCTCATATGGAAGCTGTTCCATACCCTTAATTTTTGTTGCCCTTTTCCATACCTTTTCCCATTCCAATATATCTTTTTTAAGATGGGGCAACCACATCTGCACACAGTATTCAAAATGGATTTATAGAGAGACAATATGATATTTTCTGTTTTATTATCTACCCCGTACTTAATGATTCCCAACATTCTGTTCGGTTTGACTGTCAGTGCTCATTGAGTGGATGTTTTCAGAGAACTATTCACAATGACTGCAAGCTCTCTTTCTTGAGCGTTAACAGCTAATTTCGACCCCATCATTTTATATATATAGTTAGGATTATGTTTTCCAATGTGCATTGGTTTGCATTCATCAACACTGAATTTCATCTGCCATTTTCTTGCCCAGTCACCCAGTTTTGTGAAATCCCTTTGTAATTCTTTACAATCTGCTTTGGACTTGACTATCTTGAGTAATTTTGTATCATCTACAAATTTTGCCACCTCCCTGTTTACCCCTTTTTCCAGATCATTTATGAACACGTTGAATTATACTGGTCCCAATACAGACCCTGGGGGACACACCACTATTTACCTCTCTCCGTTCTGAAAACTGACCATTTATCCCTACCCTTTGTTTCCTATCTTTTAACCAGTTACTAATCTAGGAGAGGACCTTTCCTCTTATCCCATGACAGCTTACTTTGCTTAGGAGTCTTTGGTGAGGGATCTTATAATAATCTGATGCAATGTTCTCTATAAATAATCTTGTAACAGATTTATAAACAAACTATTTACAGAGCAGGTCAAGTCTATGGAATTCAGCAATAAGTAAAAAGTCTGCAATGAGACACTGGTGGAAATGCATTGACCAATAACACTCTTCCATGTATCCAAACAATTTTACGTATGTATAGAGAAAGGGAGCGCTCACTGTGATTTAATACATTTCTGTTTGCCATCATGATGACAAGACTTGGCAACCAGTCCATAAAATGGAATCTGGTCTACCTCTGATGACTCTTTACATAGTTCCTCTCAAACAACGCATGAGCACAGCAACCACAGATGGAATTTAGGAGGTACAATGCAGAAACAGAAATTTAGTTATGTAAAGATGTGGCTGTTCTTACAGACCACAACAGAAAAGGGTTACGCTTTAACTATGAGGTGAAAACAAAAACAAATAAACAAGACTAGCTTGTCCCTTTGTCTCCAATTCAGAGGCCCCAGGTGTTGATTCATAAATTCCAAGACTGTGGATACACTGGCAAATAAGTATTCACAATTTGATACTGGTAAGGTTCCACCAATGTAGCAAAAATGGAAGCAGAGGTATAGATGGTGGTAAAAATCCATGAACCCTTACCACAGTACAGCTTCCACCAAGGCTAATACCAGTGGAGCTGCATCAGTGGTGTATTATGGCCCTAATCACAGAAATGTAGGGCATGAAAGGCTGTCTAGAGGTCATCTAGTCCAGCTCCCTGCACTGATGATGCTATTTTAGGCAAGGCTTTAAAAGCAGAGACTGCATTACCTTCAACAGTGGCTTATTTGAACGTGGTCAATTTAAACAGCTATCACCTTTTCTAAAATGGCTTTTTCAACACATATCTTTGTGGAATTGGAGTGCTCTTTTTCCAACTTGTATATAGGAAAAGGCAATATACAGTTTTGTTTTAATTTAGTTTATTTAAGAAGAGTGAAAAGAATGTATCATTACGATGAAAACGTTGATAGAAATATTATAAGGACAACACCCTTAACAGGATTTCCAGTCACAACTTCTAAAATGTTAAGACACAATCCCTTAAGCAACCTTTTTTAGTTATCCATAGAGATTTACAGGAATTAGTCAGCTACATGCCAGCTATCCTACTATTCCCTGAATACAACAGACAGTTACAAATAAATAAAACTTTAGAAGTTGCATGTAAGGGCTATATTAATTACTCCACCTATTCCCTAGCTCATATGCATATAGAGAGACAGACTATAGATATACTGTATGACTGTTTTTACCACAGTAAAGGAGCAGCAGACTGGTCCTGGCCAACCATGTAATAACGCCATGATTACACTATGGGACTTCAGAGACCATCATAAGTTTTGTGGATAAAGCACACAATAAGAAGCCCATTTAGATGCAAGGATTCAAAAACTGAGGAGAAAAATTTGAATTTGCCAAAAATAAATCAGGCATAAGTGTTTAAGTCCAAGGAGCGGTTTGTTGCACTTTCCAACATAGAAACGGCATCCAAACAATGCTACTTTGTTTTTATCTTTTTAATGCGCTAATTTGTGATAAAAGTGATAATATGATTTTACAATATAGAGATTTGTTCACATGGAAAATTCTGTGTTGAAATCAAAGTTAGAAGAATCTGTTTGTGCACATATTAATCATTTATATGATTCAATGATTCTGGAATCATTTTGGCTAGTGAAACAGGCTTAAATACTTCTTGAGAGAGAAAGAGGCAGGTTTACATATCCATGGTTGAAGCAAATTGGAAATTCAGTAGAATTCTAGTCATTTATAGTAAAACACACAAACATCATCAAAACAAAGTGAGTAACATCTTTCATGAAAGTTGAAGGAGCAAGAATTTTCCACATAGACAATGAAAACCTAAAACAAAGCTTCTTGCTTCTGCAGCTTTCACCAAGTATGCTACCATTTCCCCCCACCCCCACTCCCTATAGACAGTAATTTTTGGTGGTTTGTTTTTGTTGGGGGGAGGGGGGAGACTGTCACCTTTTTCTGGATCTCAGATGTTGATGTACATTGAGCCACTGTAGATCCAATGCTGCTCTCAGGCCTCCAAGAGCTCTTTGGAACAATGATGTGCTGAGATTATACACTAGGAGATTTCTGATCCTACTCCTCCCCTCCACACTCCCATTCTATTTGCTCCACTAAGATTGTCAGTAATTTTAAGATTACTAAAACGTGTCTTCTCAAAGAGTTTCTAGACTGCTTATTAAACAGTACAAGGAAGGAGACAACACAGGGTACCAGAAAATATGGAAGGAAAATGGTACAATACAATATCTACATTGCAACTTGCTGCCATCTGCCCAACAAGACTGATGACAGCATCTCCCTCTGCAATGGTAAAAAATTAGAGATTTTTTTGTAAATAGCCTTATAAATGTTTATATAAAAATCTTTAAGAAAATAAACTCAGAATTAATTCACAACAAATCCCAATATTTTTAATTTTAAATAGATTTGTCTGAGAAATTACCTCTTCTTTCAGTGCATGTTTCTTTTGCTCCAAACAGATTTCCTTAGCTCTCATCAGCTGCAGTGTTTCCTTAGAAACTGCATACTGCAGCTTTTCCATACGTTCTACTGCTGCCGCCCATGCTGCCTTACCAAACTTTTTCTGATCTGCCCGCATTCGATCATACACAGCTGTAAAAGAAAAACAGAGCTCCGTTAATACAGATAAAATACACAAAATTTGATGTGCTGTCAAATTTCATATACAATTTGTTAACGCTATCACAATTCCTATAAACACATCAACAATAGTAATATAGTAATCTGTAATAGTAATAGCTATTATGAAAATAAGTTTCCAGGAGCTTAAACATGATGCACGATTTCTGCAACTACATAATCTCCCCAGAACTGTCAGTCTCCAATGTACTTCTGCTCCTGACCACTGCAGACAGTTTGAAATTTAGTAAAATTTTAGAATCCTAGTTTGTTTCAAATTTCTGTTTACTTTGTTTGAGGCACTCGCCATGTTAAGTTTCCAGGTTTATCATCATACTCCAGCCACAAAAGCCACCCACTGACAGAGAATCTAAGGCTTTAAAATAAACAACAAGAATATGCAAACCTCCTGGAACACCTCCTCCCTCAGACATCTCTGTGGGGTATGTGGGAGAAATTACGTAATGGTGGATTTATTATTTTATTTACTGCATTTTCCTAATAGGCTAACCAGACAAAGCTTTAAAACTCTGTGGGAATTTGTTATATAAAATATGGTAATTTACAATGAGAACACAGATATACAGAGATGCTGATGTAGGGAGCCATCACCTCCAATAATCAAACAGCCTGTGTTCAGTTGCCCAGAAACTGTCCAATCTAACTGAGCTCAGAACTTTGTCAGGGGCTTTTTTTCAGTTGCCTACTTCGCACTATAACTATATCTCTACGTAACAGTGAAATATGGACAAATGGCTAAAAACAGGTAGAGTTAAGAAGAAAACACACACTATCAGTGCGGAGAAGGGATGGGGACATGGGCAGCTGGTAGATCTGCAAGTGTGTACGACAGGGTACCTGGGATGGACCACACTGAGAATGCCACACTCAGGGAAGACTGCAAGAAATAGAGCAGGCAATCCCCAAAGCTGGTGGTATATTCTATAATTAGATTCACCAAGCTAGTAATAAAACAGCTTCCCAAGTACCACACTGGTTAACCAGAAGCCAATACACAGTCCCCTTTAGGCATTCCAGCCCTTGGCTTCCATCCAGACAGCCAAGTCTAATATATTGAGAAATTACTGAAAACCCATTTCACCATATGTGAGGTTCTTATTAATCCCAAAGGATCAGACACTTATTGACAGGTCAATATGTATTTCAGATCTTACTAAAATATCATGCTGTCAGCCAATCCTTAGTAAACTAATCGAAGATATATTAATAAAAGAAGAGAGTTATAAATGGTTAACAGATCATATACATACAAAAATTATTAGAAAATCCTTATATTAGGTTTGTAGCAGTGATGGAATAGACTGCTGGCTTGCAAAAGTCTCTGGTAACTTCCAAAAGATTGGAAGGTCCTCAGTCCATAGTTCAAGATGCTCCTTTTAGTTGTAAATCCACAGCACAGAGAGCAGGAAAGAAGCAAAATGGAGTTGTCTCATGTGTCTTTTCTATTCTTTGCCATGTGCATGGAAATTTACTGTCCCAAAGAAAGCCCACAGCCTGTGTATGGAACGTTACTAGCCCAAGAATGAGTCCGGGGTCACATGAACATATCACATGTCCGTATATGTTTTGCTGAATCACATGGGGTGGCCACTGGCTCCTCACTGTCTGAGGCATCCACAAGAAGACCTGCTGAGAGGGATGAGTTTCTTCAATGGGCCATATGAGAGAGTGGAGTGATCTTAATGGGCCATCAATACATAGCCCAGGGGTGGCCAAACTTACTGACCCTCCGAGCCACACACAATAATCTTCAAAAGTTTGAGAACCAGGTGCACCTGCTGGGGCTCGGGGCTTCTGTCCTGTGGCAGGGGTCTTGGGGCTTCAGCCCTGTGGTGGGACAAGGGTGGGGGGAGTGCCTTAGGGCTTCAGACACATGGGAGGTGCCTGCTGGGGCTCGGGGCTTCTGCCCCACTCCTGCTGAAGACCCAACCCCGGGAAGGCATCTCTCATGGGGCTGAAACCCTGAGCTCCCTGCCCCAGTCTGGTACGAAGAGAAAGGGGGAGGAGGGGCGGCCGCATTTTAACTGTAGAAAGAGCCACATGCAGCTCGCAAGTGCCAGTTTGACAACCTCTGACATAGGTTTACATTAGGGCAAGACAGCTATCTGGGAAAGTCACCCACGAATACAATACATGTTTAAGATACAAGTACATAGCCAAAATTTATAACTTCAGATACAAAGATGACATGCATATAAAGAAGATAATCATACTTAGCAAATCATAACTTTTCCATTGATGCCTTATATGCCATACTTTGTACCAGATTTATGGAAATTGTGTAACAGTGGTAACAACAGTGATACAAATGGTCACCTTTCTTATATTCACAGCATCACTGGGGGTACGCAAGCAGCTGGTTGATCTGGAAGTGGGTATAAAATAAGAAAAGTCTAGAAACCTCTGATCTAAATAATTCTCTGTCCTGATTCAGTGCAGGGGACCGGACTAGATGACCTACAAGGTCCCTTCCAATCCTACATATCTAAGGGTATGTCTACACTCCCAGGTGAATTGGTGGGCAGCGATCGAATCAGCGGGGATCGATTTATCGCATCTAGTCTAAACGCGACAAATCGACCCCCAAGCGCTCTCCCATCGATTCCAGCTCTGCGAGAGGCGCAGGTGGAGTCGACAGGGGGAGCAGCAGCAGACTCACCACAGTGAAGACACCACAGTAAGTCGATCTAAGTACATCGACTTCAACTCTGTTATTCACATAGCTGAAGTTGTGTAACTGAGATCGACACCCCCCCCACACACACACACACACCACCACCAGTGCAGACCAGGGCTATGATTCTATGATACTTCCAGGGCCCTACATTTTAGCTTTACTGGTTGTAAAGAAAACTTTCCAAATGAATGATAGAGACCCAAGTCTGCAAACAGCCTGAATAATATCTTTAAAATAAATGTAAGCTTCCACATTTACTTATTGAGTAAAAAGAAAAGGAGTACTTGTGGCCCCTTAGAGACTAACCAATTTATTTGAGCATAAGCTTTCGTGAGCTACAGCTCACTTCATCGGATGCATTCAGTGGAAAATACAGTGGGGAGATTTATATACATAGAGAACATGAAACAATGAGTGTTAACATACACACTGTAAAGACAGTGATCACTTAAGGTATGTTAACACTCATTGTTTTATGTTCTCTATGTATATAAATCTCCCCACTGTATTTTCCACTGAATGCATCCGATGAAGTGAGCTGTAGCTCACGAAAGCTTATGCTCAAATAAATTGGTTAGTCTCTAAGGTGCCACAAGTACTCCTTTTCTTTTTGCGAATACAGACTAACACGGCTGTTACTCTGAAACCTACCTATTGAGTGTTATCTTTGAGCCCTTATAATGGCAATCTAAATGCCGATATTATTTCACTACTAATCATTTTAGCACAATGGTACAAACTATCTCCAGAAGGAACCACCATCTGCCCCCAAATAGCAATAAGTGAGGGGCAACATAACTGCGACTCCCCAATATTTATTTATGACCTCCAGGTTGAGGCCCCTGATTTAACAGAAATATCCAGCTGATGTGTTTAGCCTAAAATTCTAAACTGCCTTCCATATGTTCCCAACTGCTAAGAATCCCAAATGTCATTTTCTACCTACCAAAGCCTCCAGCTACCCTTAACTTCTACAGTGCAGTTGTGTGTTCAATACAAATCTGCAACACTAAGAAAATTAAGAATTATGGGGCAACAAAATTACACTTTAATATTAAATTGAACACCATAGTGAATATTGTAGACTGTGTATTTAACGTAACAAAAACATTTTATTTTAAAATTTGAAGCTGTTGGAAAATCCAGGCTCCTTGCTACAGAATTAGGTTCAAGTTAACCATACAGAGTACAGGAAGACCTGGTCATAACCAGATGAAACAGAACTTCTTCAGGAACCTTCCAGGATAGCAAAAGTCCCTTGCCTGATCAAGATTAGGACTCATTTATTTTGAGCATCAACCACTACTTGGGCTGAGACAGAAAACCATTCACTGATTTAAACTATGCAGGGCAATTACATGACATTACTTGAACACTTCTGCTAAGCAAAACTGGCTGAAATTCAGGATTTCACAGATGAAGCAATCAGTCTCCAGGCCCCAGATCCTCAAAGAAATTTAGGCCTAAAACCGGGCCCAGGTGTTTAAAGCAGTGGTACCCTCAATAAGGGATAGCTGTTGAGTGGTAAGCTAGTAACATGGTTACTCACACCTTGCTTCCTCACTCAGTAACAAAATCTGTCCTTATTTTTATTATTCTTAGAATTACCATAGAGCCTAGGAGCCCTAATCATAGATGAGGACCCCATTGTGGCAGGCACTGTACAAATATGAACAAAAAGAGCTGCCCAAAAGACCTGACAATCTAAATATAAGCCAAGAGACAACAGAGGGATGGATGGATGCAGTGCTGTAGCAATGTCAGTCCCAGGATATTGGAGACAAGGTGGGTGAGGTAACATCTTTTATTGGACCACCTTCTGTTGGTGAGAGAGACAAGCTTTTGAGCTTACACAGAGCTCTTCTTCAGGTCTGGGAAACCTATTCAGAATGTCACAACTAAATACAAGGTGGAACAGATTGTTTAACGTTAAGTAATTAACACATTTTTTCAAGGGACCATTCTAACTACTTCACCTTCGTTGATGGCAAGTAAGTCACAGGAAAACATTTTTCTTTATCAGTTAACATGCTTTCTGACTTAAAGTCTTGTCTATACTACACAGTGCACTTATTTAACTAAATGAGGTCTTTAAAAATTCACTGTAGTTAAACAAGTTTAACCCTTGCTTAAATCAGTGTAGCTTGCATTGGTAAGATACTGACTTAAGCTAAATCAATACAAGGAAGAGTCAGACCAATTTAAGCATGTCTACTTTAGGGTTTAACTAGAGTAACTTTTAAATTGATTTAGTTAAACTGGTGCATTTTCTAATATAGAAAAGGCCTTAGTTGCCAGACTTCCAACCAGCAGATACCTTTTGCAGATGAACCTGGGTAAAGTATTCTCTCAGTAGTGTAGCAAGATAACATAGGTTTACAAGATTCTTACAGTTCTGTAAGGTCTAACTGATGAGAGAAAGGAACAAGAAAAGCTGAGTCAGATGAAAGAGTGAGACAAAATTGATATTATGGTTGCCACCTGCCTGAAAAAGAAGAATATCCTGCAGGAATTCTCGTCTGCATGGGGGTTGCCTAATCACAAAAAGTGCTGCTGTGCAGGAGCACAAACACGATTGCATTGAGGGGGCATTTTTGTTTGCTATTGTGGTTGTTCAAGAAGGAGGACTGATTAAAGAGAGAGATGGACAGGCAGAAACAGGATGAAAGCGGGGGGGAATAAAAGCTCTAGTTTCCTCTAAGGGAAAGAAAAGCACATCACAGACTTTAAGGTCAGAAGGGACCATTGTGATCATCGATTCTAGTCTGACCTCCTGCACGTTGCAGTCCAAAGAACCTCACCTACCCTTTAATAGACCCATAACCTCTGGCTGAGTTACTGAATCCTCAATCATGATTTAAAAAGACTTCAAGTTACAGAGAATCCACCATTTATTCTAGTTTAAACCTGCAAGTGACCCATGCCCCATGCTGCGGAAGAAGATGAAAACCCCCCAGGGTCTCTGCCAATCTAACCCAGTGAATTAGACCCCAAATATGGTAATTAGTTAGACCCAGAGCATGTCGACAACACCTACCAGCCAGAAACCTGGGAAAGATTTGCCTGTAGTAACTCAGAGCCCTCTCCATCTACTGTCCCATTACTGGCCGTTGGCGACGTTGCTATCAGTCACAGATCAGCTACATGCCATTGAGGGCAGTCTCATCATAACATCCCTCCACAAATTTATCAAGCGCAGTCTTGAAGTCAGTTAGGTTTTTTGCCCCCATTGCTCTGTTTGGAAGGCTGTTCCAGAACTTCACTCCTCTGATTAGAAACATTCATCCAATTTCAAGCCTAAATTTGTTGATGGCCAGTTTATATCCATTTATTCTTGTGTCTGTATTGGTGCTTAACTTAAAAAACTCCTTTTCCACCCTGGTATTTATCCCTCTGATGTATTTATAAAGAGCAATCATATCTCCCCACAGCCTTCTTTCGGTTAAGCTAAACAAGCCCACCTCTTTGAGTCTCCTCTCATAAGGTAGGTTTTTCCATTACTGGGATAATCTTGGAGCCCTTCTCTGCACCTGTTCCAGTTTGAATTCATCTTTCTTAAACCAGAATTTCACACAGTATTCCAGATGAGGTCACACCAGTGCCTTGCACAGTGGTACTAACATTTCCCTGTCTCTACTGAAAATGCCTCGCCTGATGCATCCTAGGACTGCATTAGCCTTTTCCACAGCTGCATCACATTGGCGGGTCATAGTCATCCTGTGATCAACCAATACACCCAGATCTTTCTCCTCCTCTGTCAGTCCCAACTGATACATACCCAGCTTATAGCAAAAATTCTTCTTGTTAGTCCCTACATGCATGACCTTGCACTTCGCTCTATTAAATTTTATCCCATTTCTATTACTCCAGTTTATAAGGGAATCCAGATCTTCTTGTATGATATTCCAGTCCTCCTCTATATTGGCAATACCTCCCCACTTTGTGTCATCTGCACATTTTATTAGCACATTTCCACTTTCTGTGCCAAGTACCATAATAAAAATGTTAAATAAGATTGGTCCTAAGACTGATCCCTGAGGTACTCCACTAGTAACCTCCCTCCAGCCTGACAATTCACCTTTCAGTATGGCCCATTGTAGTCTCCCTTTAACCAGTTTCTTATCCACCTTTCAATTTTCATACTAATCCCCAACTACTCCAATATAATAAAAAATTTCCCATGTGGAACCTTATCAAATGCCTTAGTGAAATCCAGGTAGATTAGAACTACTTCATTGCTATTGTCTAAAAAATCAGTTATCTTCTAAAAGAAGGAGAGCAGGTTGGTCTTGCACAATCTACCTTTTGTAAAACCATGTTGCATTTTATCCCAATTACCATTAACATCTATGCCTTTAACTACTTTCTCTTTCAAAATTTGTTCCAAGACCTTGCATATAACTAGGGTCAAACTAAGAGGCCTGTAGTTTCTCAGATACTTTTTTTAAAAAAGGGGGGAAAAGTGAACTATTAAAATTCAACTTCGATTTCAAATAACCTTTATGTGAAAAAAATAAGACAGTGGAAAATGGTTACCTTTCTGTGCTTTGGCTGTTATTTCGAAGTACTTAACAGTAAGATCCTGAATAGAAAGGACAGCCATGTGGGCTTTCCGCTGCCAATCTGCATCTTCTTTTTGTAGGCTCTCAATTCTCCTGGGACCTAGGTAATCATTCTCTATGGAGATCTGAAAATAAATCAGTCCATCATTAACATCAACAAATTAAATTCTGTCAATGGCAGCTAGTTGCAGTCAACCTGGGTGAATAGAAATGATTTTTTTTTAAATGGGGAAAAAAAAAACTTTAAATGCTCATTTATGCTGAAAAAGAACAAGTGTAGGGTCTCACTAACATTCTTACTGCGAGAACAGAATCTCAAAACAACAAATTAGTAAACGAATAGCCCATACTACGTTGCAACCAAAGCCACCTTCGACAAGTCAAAATAGCTTAAATGCTTCAACCAATGAAGGTTTGCAGTCTGAAGTCAATGCAAGTTGTACTCTGAGGTAGAACTAGGCACAATTTTTCAGCAAATTACTTATTTGTCAAAAATTGCAGCTTCAGTTGATCCTGAATGGTTAGAAAATGTGTGGAGTTCACAAAAGTGTCTACCAAACCAAAAAAAAGAAAAAGAAAAAGAAAGAAAAGGAAAAAAAAAACATTTTAGTAAATGTTGAAACAAAACATTCTGTTTCAACCCATTTCAAGACAATTTTGTTTAGATTTTTTGCATTTTGACAAAAGCCAAGGAGAACTATTTTAAAAAATGCTTTGAAGGAGGGGTTTTAAGGGGGAGGAGGCCTAGCTTATAACCTTTAGCTCACTGATTAAAGTACTCTAGGATGTGGATTCAATTCCCCCCTTATGCCTGACACAAAGAATAGGTTAATTGACTTGCCAAGCTCCCAAAGTCTTTGGCCAAGCCAGAAATTAAATCCAATTTCGCAGTCCAGTACTCTATACATTAACTATTCTTCCTCCCTAGCTGACTCTTCCACCAGTAGCAAGTTCAAACTGGAACAGGTACAGAGAAGGGCTACTAGGATGATCCGAGGAATGGAAAACTTGTCTTATGAAAGGAGACTCAAGGAGCTTGGCTTGTTTAGCCTAACTAAAAGAAGGTTGAGAGGAGATATGATTGCTCTCTATAAATATATCAGAGAGATAAATACCAGAGAGGAAGAGGAATTACTTAAGCTCAGTACCAATGTGGACACAAAAACAAATGGATATAAACTGGCCACCAGGAAGTTTAGACTTGAAATTAGACGAAGGTTTCTAACCGTCAGAGGAGTGAAGTTTTGGAATAGCCTTCCAAGGGAAGCTGTGGGGGCAAAAGATCTATCTGGCTTTAAGATTAAACTTGATAAGTTTATGGAGGAGATGGTATGATGGGATAACATGGTTTTGGTAATTAACTGATCTTTAAATATTCATGGTAAATAGACCTAATGGCCTGTGATGGGATGTTAGATGGGGTGGGATCTGAGTTACCCAGGAAAGAATTTTCTGTAGTATCTGGCTGGTTAATCTTGCCCATATGCTCAGGATTTAGCTGATCGCCATATTTGGGGTCAAGAAGGAATTTTCCTCCAGGGCAGATTGGAAGAGGCCCTGGAGGTTTTTCGCCTTCCTCTGTAGCATGGGGCACGGATAACTTGCTGGAGGATTCTCTGCTCCTTGAAGTCTTTAAACCACAATTTGAGGACTTCAATAGCTCAGACATAGGTGAGGTTTTTCACATGAGTGGGTGGGTGAGATTCTGTGGCCTGCGTTGTGCAGGAGGTCAGACTAGATGATCATAATGGTCCCTTCGGACCTTAGTATCTATGAATCTATGAGTTTCTACAGGACAAATAAAGTCTTTATTTACACAAGTTTGCCTTTATATTGTGCCCTGCTGCAATACCAGTGTACTGCCATTGCACTCAGTAGGCTTGTAAACAATTCTGTTCATGTACAAGAATGGAATACATTTACTCTTCCTCAAACATTCTGGCTCTGAAGTGCTATGAGGAGTAAAAAGCAAAACAAATTTTGCACATCAATTCTGAATATACCCTGGGAGCAGAATATATTGAGTAATATCATGCCAATTTCGCATAGCCTCTTTTCATATTAAAAAGGCATTTTACATTAAACCTGATTTTTCTGGAAGGGGTCTGAGATTAACATTTTATTCTAAAAGTTGGAGAATTAATCCCAGAGAAGAAACAAGTCAGCAAGGCACTTATTACTGAATGTTAACACTCTGGAGTGACAGATTTGATTGATGGTGTCTTTCCCTTTTAAGGAAGTTGCAACTTATTGAGAACCTATGCTTCCTGGCTCAATCAATTTTTTCAAGTGAGTCACCAAACAGCTTGCTGCCTCTGACAGCCTAATGTATCAGTAGAGTGGAACTGAAATAATTACCCTACAAATTTATCCTAATTGTGAGCTCAAGAGTGAAAAGTGAAATAAAGTGTATAAAATGTCACAATAACCTATCAACAAAAAATGTTGATCGGAAAAGGTGCAAAAGTGAGACTGAATTATTCCAAACAAAAAGGCCTATTGATATAACTCAAGGACTGTATTAAGATCATGCCTGGCAAATACAAAAAGTGAGAGTCAATAAACCATAATTGATGTGTTGGAAATCAGGCCTACTGGTAGACAAAATAATGCTAGAATGAACTACTATGCCCATTGCTCTCTTTTGTGGTCATCAAAAAGAAAAAAGGGAAATTGGCAGAGCAGCAGCAAAGGGGGACAAATGCTGACTGAAAGAAGGTGAAGAAATGAGCTTCACCATCATGCTACTACCTCCCGCTGTCTCTTGGGATTAACATCGCTGGGCCTTTGTCTTCCTGATCCCAAGAGATGTCCTGACCAGAGCAGGCCAAGAGGGACCCAGATGATATTGCCACCTCTATCAGATTCAGCTAAATCCTGACCACCACCAGGAATGTGAGACTGTGTCTCTCTCTCACACACACACACACGCCCCTTTTTCCTTCCCCACCTTATTTCTTCTTTCCTATGCTTGCAAAGTGAGAATCAACACCAGAGGAAAAAAAGCTGCATTTTCTATCTTCTACAATGCCACAACAACACATAAACAATTGCATTTTTGATCAAAAGTACCCCCAAAAGGTATTAATTCTAATTCAATAAGATTTAACTTTATTTAATTCCATAAGGTCTGTTCAGGATATTGTCAGTCTGTAACAGCAGGTTCCTATTCCCTCCTAGGGCCAGATGGGATTGAACAAGGAAGACAGGGCCCTTGCACTGAAAAGTATGTCATTACTTCCCCAGGAAAGTCCTCAAAGTTTGTTTTTGTTTTTAAGGTGTGCTGAGGGAAGAGAAAGTGGGTGTGCTATGGGCACCATGATTTCAGAAATGGGACCTGCAACCGTGGCTTTTTCCTGAAATCTCATACTATATACATCTCCCTCAGCTAGGAATCTTCCCCCTCCCTTCCCTTGGTTTTTGAACTTTTCCAGCTTCTTTGCACAACCAGTCAATGCAATAAGGGCAAAATTGTGACAGGAAATAGACTCTGGCCAGGCCACACTACTGCCTGAAGTGGGAATTTGCTGTCCTGCTCATCTTCCCTCCACCAGCATTACCACGAGTTACCCAGGACTAGAGCGTAGAAAAGGATAAATAAGATGTGCCAACAGCGGTTAAGGTAATACGAAAGAATGAAAGCAAGTTGAGGGAGCAGAGTATATCTATGATACAAGGCAGTATACTGAAGAAAAAAATATATAGTTTAATATGTAGGGGGTGTTTTGGACCAAAAGTTATCAAAGCTACTTCAGTGCATTCCTGCTACCAGAACACCATTCAGACCTGACATTGGCTTGGTTGATATATCAGCAAGTGAGACTGTATTTCAGCTCCATCCTCCCTCCAAAGACTATTATTAAAAACCTGTAGAACCAGCTGTAACATAACTATACTCCCAAAGATATTTCCAAAAATGTATTTACACACTCCCTATCCAGTCTAAATAAGTTATCTAAACTTTGAAACGAACTTGGGCTTTTACGCTTTAACTTCTTGAATGCTAAGATGGAACTGAACATTGATAAATCAAATTTTTCCCTTTAACTTCTCATACCTTATGGAGCTCTAAATTTGTTTGGGTTGTTTTGTTTGGTTGTTTTTTTTTACAAGCACACAGAGTCCACATCTCCACTACAGTCCACAATAATGCTCAGATCCCTTTCCTGACTTGATACAGCTAACAAGATATTAGGATGAACAAATGGAAGTGTAGACTCACACAGAAGATATTATAACTCCACTGTATAATTAAATGTTGCACCATCATATGGACTCTGTATGCAGTAGTGGTCACCATCTCAAAAACGTGTTGTTGCGGAATTAAGCGGAGGGGAATCAGAGAAAGGGGAGAATGATTAGGGTATGAAAGAGCTCTCATGAAAAGTGAGAAGATTAGGACTGTTTATCTTGGAAATGGAGATGAAGAAGAAAGAACATAAAACTGTATATAAAATTATATTCAAAACGCTACATTAAGAAAGTTAAACTTGCAAAGTCAAGTGCCCATAGATTAGGAACTGCCAGAATTAACGCTGTCCATGCAACTTAATTCTGTCCCCTTGTGTTTATGAATTATGATGCAGCAGTCTCTGTCTTTAGTGACATGATCATATACTATTTTTGCAACTGATTCATTCAGTGAATGTGCAGTTAATCAATATTCCTTTTTATCCTACTGATTCAAAGCATGCCCCCCAATCTTATTTAACATATACCATCCAAACCCTGTGCTGAATACAAAATTGTTAGTTTCCTGCTGGGCATTTCTATCATGCTCTCACCAAGTGTTTCACAAACCTTAATGAATTTATCTCCACAACATCCCTGTGAGAACAGGTGGTGGTATCCCCATGATGCCGAATTCCTTCGTAAAGTACTTTGAGATCTACTGAGGAAAAGTGCCACGTAAGACTCCAGTTCCAGTTGCAAGGGCTTAGGACTTCTGCAAATCTGGTCACACGTGTCTCACACTGGGCACCCATGAAATGAGGAACTCAATTAATGACGGTCTGTGAAAAGTTTGGTTTAAGTGACTTACCCAACATCACACAGGAACTCTGTGGCAGAAGCAAGGATAGAATCTAATTCTTCAGGGTGGCACTTAATTTCCTTAATCAGTAGA